GTCTTACCTAGATGGCGATTTCTGTCCTTACTCTCATCTAGCTGAATACTCAAACTTTGAAAGTCCTTGAAAGTGTTCTCTAATAGAGCCTCCAGAGCCTTTTGTGTTGTCGCGGTTTTGAAACACGTTTGCATGGCTAGAAAATGAGAAAATTGTAAATGTCCTTTAAAAAAATCCACATAACGCCAGCATCAAATTTTTACAGTGATTTTAAAACAGCGAAAGTCAACATCACTGGAGCTACAATTGATTTATTTCACTAAAGTCACTAAGATTGATGGATGTCATCGTGTGTTGCAAACAGGACGGCTCTTGAATGTACTACCAAGTGTCTTGGATGCAAAGTAAATACAAAGCAGTAATATCGACTTCAAAATAAATTTTGACGTAGAGGCGTAATGAATTTGTCAAATTTACTCACTTGAAGAACAGACAGATTGCACGAATTCAATTTGCGTCTTGACAGCCTCACACAAATCGCGTGTTCCATTGATCCTGTGATATATATAAATGATAATCCAAGGAACAGCTACTTTTTTTCGACTGCCTCTCGTTTTTCAACTTCATCCTTCACTTTAAGACTGGCGTTCTCTCTATCCATTTGTAATTCTAAATTTGACTTTCGCAGACTGGCCACCAAAGTGTTGGCTTCCGCCAATTTCTCTTCCTAACATTAGAGAGAAATTTAGTTTACTGGTTTAATGTCCCACATTTTTATTAAGCTTGGATATCATTTCATTCTTCCAATTCTCTAATTTTATAGCTTCGTTCTTCAGTTTCATATGCAAGATCGCCAACCTACAAATAAAAAATTGGGCTGAAATTTCTTGTCCAAATTAAAGTTGGAACTCCTTCTTAGGTAAGTGGAGGGCTGGATGATAATTGGTAGTGAGACTAGATAACTGGTGATATTGCCTTCTAGAACCCAACTTAGTTTTATTTGGGCTTAAACTCAATGAGAATGTCGAATTTTCACAGGAAAAAATATGTGCAAGTTTCTTTGTAAGCAAACCAAAAACTACCATTGTATTTAGGGGGTCGTAAAAAAGTGATTCCGATAGTGAAATGTCCGTGGCATCTGCACACTTTGGAAGATAACATTATGAGGTCGGTTATAAATCACCAAGATAGCTAAACTCACTTGTCACATCCAGAGGAATTACTAATCTCAACTTCTTTATAATGTTCAGCTTCATAAGCAGGTGATCGCTGTACATTAGCCTTATCCTCCTTCGGGTGATGTTGATAGTTGGCATCCTGTTGTTCCTCGTCATTAGTTTGGTCAAGATCAAAGGTTGACAAATCAAGACTTGTTCCTGGCTCAGCAAAACTAAGTTCCCTTTTTTCAATATCTGCGTTGACTTGGATAGCTTTGGGAGAATTAATATTCACCCTGTCAGATGATGTGTCTCGCTCTGCAATTGCAAGATCTAAAGTATTTGAATTTGACTTAAAAGCAGGAGATTGGCATAACTTCGATGAATGTAGGAAACCCATCGATGGAGATGCTTGAGACTTTGATTGAAATCGGGATAGTGATGGCGAAATGGGAATGGGTTCCGCCACTCGAGGGAGTCGTAAGGAACTCTCAGGAACCAAAAAATTTGTCTTCCATTTATTTGTACCTGAGTTCGTAACTGATTTTTGCGCCTTTTCAAGAGCGATTTGCGTGGGGGAACTTGGTTTATCACACTGCGATGAAAATATTCCTGAGCGTGAGTAAAAAAAGTCCGCTGTATCATCAAGATCACTGGAGCTATTTAAGTCGCAAATAGCATCCCACATCACCGGCGAAGCGTTGGTTATGTTTTTTGTACTCTCGCTTACGTCCGAGCTACCTGAATCCTTTTTCATTAAAGAAGTGTCAGCAGAATGACCAGAGGATTTTTTAAATAGATTGACACCAAAGAATTTCGCCATATTCTTTGCCTACAAATAATAAAAGCTTAAAAATGAGCATAGTAATGCATCAGAGAATCATCTAAGTTAAAAGCAATGGCACATCATCTAACCATTATCTCTGATCTATCTCAATAAATTTAAAAAATAATATTAGCGTACTAAGTAACAGTCAATAGTTATGTCAAATTTAATTAAGCTTCATAAATAATATTCCT